TCATTAAGCGATGTTCACACTGCTCGACTCTAGGCTCCAGTAATCCACCGTAAAGAGACCAGGTCAATCACTACAAATGTAGGATCTTATCGACTGAAGTGCCAGGCCTGCCCGGACGGTAGGTAAGCATTTCTCATCGACCATTGTCAACCGAACCGCAACGCTTTGGGATGCATACCGGTGTTATACATTAGTGTCACGTATTACTAAAATATTGCCATGCTCATTTCCAGCCTTCTGCTCCGTCTCTGCAATGTCACAAACATATCCTCTGACAGACTTGGATACGTGCGATGAAAATAGGTCCTTTTGAGTCAGCACAACTATATATGATGTATTTCATGCATATATATATATATGTATATGTATATATATACATACATATATATATATATATGGTTTATAACACCGATAGAAGCAAAATGTTTCAAGGGCTGTCGCTGCAAAATATTTCATTATTCCCGTTAGGAATTTCACTCGTGCTGGTCACGCAACTCGTCACTGCCGAGTTCAAGCTACATGTCTGTTATGTTACCAATAATTAAGCTTAACCAGCTTTGCTCAGAACGTTCGTTTGCACAACTGCTCCAGCCTGTGGTCTGAATGGTTTGTTTATCCCCGCCTGCAGCCTCTGTTCCGAAATAAAGAGCGGTACTTTTGTTCAAAAACAAGGCGCTCCGCACGCACGCCAGATCGGCGAGCGGCTGCTTGATAACTCTCACGAAAGGCGGACTGCATTGATCGACCGATTGACATGATTTTCAAACCGCTCTGTTCGCTTAGGCTTTGCTATAATTTCTATAAGACCGCATAACCTATAGAAAGAAGAGAACTGCGCACCCCGCGTCGTGTAAGGTGCGTGGCTGGAATTAATAGGCTTTGGAATATTACTAAAGTAAAATGGTGAGCCGTAATCTGCAAAAGTCACCAACATGTACGTTACTTTATTATATCACTCAGAAAAAAACAGGAACACATCCCATAATGTCTACAGTTAAGACAGTTCTGTTAGCCTTGTTCCTCGTAAAGTAACAAGGAGAAGAGAGAGAGAAAGATGCATTGATATTTCGTTACATGTCTTATCGAAACGAAAATGAGTAGTAAATTTAAAATTGCCTATGGAATCCGCTTCATTTTTCATTTTTTGTTGTACAACAGAATTTCTTTAAAAGCTGTGGTTAACTGTTGAAGGAAAACATGAAAAATCGAGTGGGATCGGCAGACAAATTTGAATTTATTATTCGTATGCGTTTTGATAAAGACAATTTCCGAAATATTGATATATCTGTCTCTCCTTTTTACCTGGCTATTTCATGAAGAAAAAGGCTACCAGCTCTGTCTCTCACGGCTACTGTATGCAGAATGTTCCTCGCAAGTACACTCACAACTTATGTTAGATAGTGTACGTTAAACTCCTTGTAGTGAGCTTTAATGTTTTGGGCTTAAACATTTCCATTATGGAAGTGCAACCTAAGCGATATTCGCTCATCAGTAAGTCTGTGTTTAGACCAAAAATTTTCAGCTGGTTCACTGCAAAAAGAACCATCACGGCAACAGGAAGACAACGAACTGAAACAAAATATTATTTGTCATTTTGTGCATACTCAACTCATCATCGTTTATTGGCCGGTCAGGGCCAAGTCTCTATAAGGAAGCAGTAGGCATTTGTATGATACCTTACGAACATCAGCCACCGGCTTGGTTAAATGTTAATACAATCATTTTACGTAGTAATGCATGCACATGAAATCTTTCCCTCCATCGATGTGACTTTGAAGGGAAACAAATACCCATCATAGCCAAAAGCCGCCAAGACACGGGCCATATATCAGCGCATGTTGGCTCTTCACAGGCTAAAGTGAAACACTAACGTGCCTCGAGATGCCAAGGTAGCGCGACATTATCGCTCAATGCATTTCTGAAGAAACTCAAATTGTTTCGAGAAGGTTGTGGTCTCCAAACCAAAGCATAGGCGTCAAGGAATTCAAATCCCGTAATAAATCCAAACGCCAAACGTAAGAGTGTCGGCCGTTGGAAGCTGAGAACCACTGACAACGTGACCATCGAGCACCCACCCCTGCCTCAATCCGTTCCGCGTCCCCGCTCCTGAAAGTCCGCATAGAGCAGCCCATTGTCCCGATTAAGTGACTGGCGGGAAGGCGATCAGCTTCCGAGCGCAGCCAGCGGACGGCCAGAATCCGACCACTTCCACGCCTTTGTGGGTTCGGTGAGATGAGGAAACCTTATCTCACCACTCTTGATCTATGACCCTAAATACCATTCCGTCCCTGTAAGCGGTAGGCACCACAATGTGGGTGCCCAAATGATCTGGTTCAAAAGGAAGTTGAGAGCTGTAATAAATCATCAGTGACAACGCGCACTAGAGGTTTTCAAGGAAAGTGTCTTCTTGACCTCAAAATTCACAACTGTTACTGAGCGCGCTTTATCGCACTATCGTTTAAGAGCGCAGACTGCGACAGTAGTCATTTCAGGGTTCGGTGGGAAAGCCCCTATTCTTTGTTAAGGAGAACGCAGCGCACGGGCATACACCCCTTTTACGGAGTGCTGACATCGGCATTGACCATGTGCAGTTAGTGCATTAGTGCAGTGCATTTAGGGACCGCGGCGCAACCGGCATTGAACCCCGGTCCCCGACGTGGGAGTTGGACGCATTAACCACTCGGCTGCTACGCCCCCGACCGTTCTCTGCAAATAGAAAGCATGTGTCACAACTCAGCCTCCCTCCCCTGCTATCTCTGCGTTTTACAGCACCGCTTGGCCTGCAGCGCCAGTAATACTACCGCGCTCTCCACTAACAACCTGCGTGTGAGTTCCGCATTGTGTCCGCGACAAAGCGCGAAGTAGTTTCTCAGGGTCGCTGTGCTACATGATCGTTCTTCTTGAGAACGTTGTTGCGTTGGCCAGCGTTGTAGCATTCAGGAACGGTACGCAGAGTCACCGGTGATGCATTACAAGTGTTGTACCAAGTCGGTAGATTTCAGCTTGGATCGATCTTGCGAAGAGTTTTCATCATGCCAGGATTCTTCTAGTTGGATGTGGTCCTCCAGCTGACGTGCTTTTCTGTTCTTTGATAATAATGTCCCGCAGCACTCTCTTATGCCTTTAAGGACGTCGAAAAGTGGTGTGAAATAGGAAAAACGCGTGCGGGGCTGCCAGGCTTGTTGGTTGTCAACCAATGTAAGCAGATTTTGGCTACCTGTCTTATAATTTGTCTTTCCAATACAGCGTCGGTGTTATCAATCCTTAGCGAGGACTTCTGCAATTCACTGTGGCTCTCGTCGCATCATCTTCAGGAGCAGTGATTCAACGTCCGATGCATGAAGTCGCGGACAGCGCTATTTTTGTAGCGTCCCGGACACTCGCTACGTCCGCTCGGGCAGTGTCCGGTGTTTGTCGACCTTCCGCGCACTTGACCCAGGAAGTTTTCCAGCGGACGCATCCACGTCAACATCTGGAAATGGTATTTTACTGTTGACACTCTCCTCTGAGGTGAACTTCAGCACGGAAGCTTTCTCAAGCTTGCTCTTTGGAAGTTGAAGCTGGCTCTCATCACTTATGTCCACAAAGATGTCATCCACATAACGGCACTGCGTGAATGAATTGCTTGGAGGGCTTTCTCCTCTTTGAAACACATTTAGCTTAGTGCATACAGGTTCGAGAGGGCGACCCTGCTGCCGCTCCGCCTGCTTAGTAGGGCCGAGTGCGCTCATGACATCTGAACGAAGCGCTCTTAGGACCCGCACTCAAATTTCGGACAGTGTTTTTCCTTGGGACAAGCGGGGAGCTGACCTGGATGGATCATGGATGAGGGTGTAATCGAGGACGACCTGGATGGCATCGTCGATCAGCACGTTGGTGTAGAGGCTCTGTGCGTTAAGCCAAGCACGCATACCTTTTCTCTCTTGTTGCTGCGTGGCTAGCCGAAACTATTCGTTAGACTTTTGACACATTTTGGAGAAACGTGCGGTGATACAAGAGCGTTGAGAGTCTTAGCCAAAGCGGAGGAAAGTGCAGGCACTTGAGAAATAATTGGCCTGATTGAGTTTTCTGGCTTATGTGCTTTGTTGCTTTGTTAACCTAACCTGGACCAAACTGTTCAGATATACGTTTGAATATGACTTCCCAATTTCTGCATTGGTAGCACCAACAAGCCCGTTAGTTTGTTCTGCTGGCTGATGGGACTCCTGCTGGTCTCTGGAATTTCCACGCATCTCGTGAAATGTCATAAACCGGTAGAAACCCTTGTGGAATGTCTCAATGTTTCGATCCAGGACTACAAGCACAGGACATGTCGGCATGGCCTATGCCGACATTCCTGCTGTCCTTCAAGCCTCATGCAGATTGTCCTCGGTGTTATTATTGGGCACCTCGTGCTGCCCATGTGCTTTATACTCTCATCTTGCGGCTGCTCTTGCACGTCAGGCTTCACGTTAATCTTGCGTTTTGTGAGGGTCGTGTATCTTCTTATTTCAAACTTCGATTTCACCCGTATTCCTGCTGACATCATTTCGTGTAGTGCTGGCAGTTCAAACCCGATTTATACAAGCCTTTCCGGCTGGGCGTGAGCTAAGAGATGACAAATTCTACAAATGTGTTTCCCTGCTTTTTAGGTTAGCATGTCCGCCACTGAGCGTATAAAGTTTTTGAGCTCTGAATTTACCTTAACGGTGATCGGCACATATGAGACTGATGAGAGCCGTTGAAATCCTTTAAACGTTCATGTATTAACTAACTGCGGGCATGCTGTAGACGCCAATAAAGCACATATTCGAGATGCCTCCTCTTTAAATACAAAGTGACCGTTCCCGTGAGGTGCGTTGAGCATTTTATGAAACCATCGATGGCTTTCGGCTGCCGCCGCCGTTTGTGCCGGAGCTGTAGTGAAGAAAATCTAAGGGCAGGAGGAACAAACTCCTCCCGGCAAATGATGAATCATTGCTTCACATACTCAAATCAAGACAGCTGGCGTGTAAGGTCGGCATGCCCATCAGCTCGAACATGACGTGTATCGATTACGGGATCCCACTGCCATCACTGAACGCTCGCTGACTCCGCGTAACTGCCAGAATCTTACAGGGCACTACAAACACTGCGTCTACAGCGCACTGAATGAGTTGAGCATGTTTGGACCAAGCCCCGATTGTGTCAAGAGTACGTGCGTGAGCCGTGTGGTCATAGTCACCTCTCTTAGCGTTAGCCCGCATCAGATGCCACCCGGTTCCGTCCACTAGGCGCCACCCATTGTAACCTGCTGAGTGGCAGGATTCAGGAAAAGAATAGCGCTAACACGAGAGTACTGTTTATTATTTCATCTAGATGTCCCAATACCGAAACATAGCTAACTCCCAGTGCGCACCACAGATCGAAATCTCTCAAAACGACACAAAGAAGCATACTTCGTCTACGGCGCTGAAAATGCGCAATGATCCGAACGCAAAAAGCAAACACATGCGTTGGTAATGTAAAACATAGGTAACCGTGGGAGGAACTATATACAACTAAATACCTTTACAAGTTAGGTATAGCCTACAGTTGGTATGAACTCTGGAAGATAGGATCACCGTGTGCATATCGGAAATGTTTCACAAGGTAATACCGACTTACGCATGCGACTACAAAACTTATAGGACATACCAAGCCGGCGCAATCAATCCGTCCTGAACCCATTCCGTTAGTTGTCGCATTCCACGCTCCCGGCATCACGCGTCACACACAGGTGTGACGTCACACCTTTGACAATATCGTACAGCAATGACAAGTTGAGTTCGGTTAGTCACAACATCGCTGCAGCGTCCGTTAGACCACGGTAACGGCACGCGTCCCATCACACGCCCCCGGGACCGGCAGCGCCACAGCCCATCGAGTTCGCAAACCTGTCTCGTCCACCCGTCTTGTCACACGCACGTCGCCTTCCGTACCATCGGCCTTCTTTTGACTGGACCCGTCCCTCCCAAGTCCCCCCAGCCACCGCCGTCGACCCATCACCTCACACAGACCGACCGCGGCGGCACGCTTGAATGCCACTATCCTGCACCGGACGCCGGCACGTGTACTCACTCGCACGCGGCCACCGCCCTGCGGTCGACGTCGCCGTCCGGCGGCTCGCGGCAGCCCTAGTACCAACCACACTTTACTCGGTCGGGCGCCCTCGCAGCTGCGTCGTTCGGACGTGCCGGAGCGCGCGGCGGCGTCCGCCGGGACACGGCGAGTAGGGCCATCAGACGGCCGGCGCGAGATCCCGCGGGCCGGCGGCGACTCCGCGCCGATTGGACGCCCCGGCGGCGGCCGGTGCCGGCGCCGGGCGCGCGCAAGGTCACGCGGGTCGACGGCTCGCCGCGCGGCCGACGACGATCTTCTCACGACCCGGCTGGACTCTGCGACGCTGCGGGTGGGTAAGGGCGCGTGCCGTCTCGCACTGGTGGTCTGTTGAGCTGCTCTGGCCAAGGCGGACCCGGACACCGCCAACAAACTCTGGGACGCTCTGAAAGGAATCGTGACTGTTATATTACCGTGTCGTATTGAAGCACACGTTACTAACATCCAAACATGTAATTCTGTATGGATATCCTGTAGTCGCGAGTCGTCCATGTATTTTGGACGGCAGCCATGGAAAAAATCGACGTTATGCAAAGCAAGTTTTTGCGCGGGGCAATGCACATGCGGGAAATAATCTGATCAGGCCAGGCAATTTGGCCGATGGATGGACAGGAACAATTTATTCTCCTGGTGATTCCCTCTGCCACACATCAATGACGCGTACCTCCCTGTCCTTCGATGGTGTCCGGCACAGCTTCGGGCCGCGCGGCTCTCAGGAAGACTCCCGCCTCGGCAGCCTGATTCTGCGCCGCACCTTGATATATACCTACGGGTGAGACGGTGGGCCGCGGCCTCATTCATCACAGCGTGACGGGCCGGCCGCGCCGACCCGGCTCCCAGCAACAGCTTCCGGGGCCTCCCACCGGCCGCCCTTGAGCGCTTGAGCAACAGCTTGTTACCTGGCACATCTCCAAATCCGCAGGCGTCTTTCACACCGCGTAAAAATATACATGCGACTGCGCCGGCACCCATGTCCGAGTCACTCAGCGAGGTCGACAGCGCGCACCCCACGGGCCGGACGTATCGACCCCGCTCAACAGCGCCGCCGCAACAGGCGACGGTGCCCGCACCAGCGCTGCGGCCCGCCGTCCGCACGCGGCCGCCGCCCGCGGCCGGGCACAGGCGCGCCGGCTCATAGCATGTAGTAAGGCCAGTACGCGACGTTGAAGCACAGGAAACCGATCGGGAAGATGATCCGGGAGATCTCGTCGATCTTCTGCGCCTGCTTCTTGGATTCCGTCTTCTGGAGTTCGTGGAAGAGCAGGTGCGGGTGGTGCTTCGTCTTGCTCTGGAAGCGGGTCGTCCACGTGAGAGGGAGGCGTGCGGCCAGCGTGACATATGGATACACGCCGCATTCCGACACTGGGCGAACTGCTGGCCAGATGACATGCGAATGCCGCGGGCGATTGACGTCGACCTTGGACATTTTTGCAACCCACGCTGACGGCGGGTGCCGCACATCAGCTGTCCGCAGCAGATGTGGTGCAATGCGCGCCTCCGCTCGCGGTCACTGACCTTGACATTGGTCCAGTTGTTCTCGTCGTGCAGGTCTTGGTGCTCGTGCTCCCTGGAGATGGCGTTCTGGAACTCCTGAAGCGTCGGGCGCTTCCTCCAGAGATAGTTGACCAGGGTGAACTCAAGCAGAGCAGCGAAAATGAAGCCCGTGCACACACCCATCCATATGTCTATGGCCTGCGGACGCAATTATTCACACTCAACATGACAAAATCGTAAAGGAGCAGAAAAAAGAATACCAAGAAAATGCCCCGTTTCCTTCTCTTTGCATGCATACCAGACAACACCGATGACAAAATAGTTGCATCGAAATGCGAAATCTGTGCTGATGGATGCACACCATATAATTCTGTTTCCTTCCCTTTTCATGCATAGCAGCCAACATCGATGACAAAATGGTTTGATCTAAACGCAAAATCCGCGCTGATGGATGCAAACCACATAGCAGTCATCGGAGCCGCGTCGGAAGTGGTTTACTCGTTTCTTTCCTATCATGTCCAGGCCTGATATGTGGCCCACATATACTGGCAATTTGATCAAGGCCTGCTGCCTGACACACGATGTGTGCTGCTGCCAGTTCCAGGACCGGCTCAATACGGCAGATTTTATCATGATCAGCGTCTCACCACCGGCTGTCTCGCATGCTGTCGCGCCATTCCTCGTCTCTGCGCTTATACGGCCGACTCAGCACTAACACGAGAGTGTTGTGACGATGGTAGTGAACCAGTATCACCACATCGGCTGCCGATGTTCGAGACCATCCCCACTGCACTACACCCTGGCACTATGAACACCGCAAAATCAAACCGCATCGCTTGGCTGGCTGAGCTTATTTCTGTGTGGAGAGTGCAAGTGCGGAGTGATCAAAGTAGGTGTCTATTCAACACTAGCGGTGTCACACAGGACTACTCTGCTGCCTGCAGCTGCCTTCTTTTAGGAAAACCTGTTCCATTCATGTGGATCAATTTAGACCCATGCTGACCGGTCAGAAACAGTGCTTAAACCGTTGGTAGTTTTCATTTGGGACATCTAGGTACATGGACTGACATCCATACATTCGTAGCGTTACCTTCAAGTCATCAAACGGCTGACTCCAGGGTACACAGATGCTTTCAAAAAATGTCATCACGCCTGGAGGTCGACTTTTTCGCCGTCCTCACCCATCATGCGTCGTAACAGTAATTCACCAGCCGCTGAACTCTTCATTCGGTCGCAATGGGAATAGCCTCGTTAGCCCAGGCCTCAGGAACTCTTGACGTTGCAACGGCTGCTTGAAAGAAGCATTACAACAGCCGTGCCCGGCCTCCGCATCTTGCCAGCATTCGCTAACCATTCATCCGTTGATTTTTTTTGTCGGCACCATGTTTGTTTTACCATCATGTAGCTGGCCGAGAGGGAGGGTTCGGCGCCACTTCCCCGCGATGCATGTGATGCCGCACCGTTTCACTTGGAAACACAACGCACGGCACACCACAACAAAAACATCACCGGCACTCCAATGCTACAATTACGCTGATGAATTCCCTCTCCACTTCCAATCTCCCAAATCCACCTTCTCACCAGCAAGTCTGGCGACGCGGGCAGACATAGGATCGTTTCCCTCCCAAGCCGGATCCAGCCGACTCACCCTGTCGTCATATAGCTGCCTCTGTCTAGCCCGTTAGACGTGTCTGGAACTGACCGAGCATTGGGCCTCGTCTTTCCGCCCCACGTGAGCGCGCCGACACGGGGGTTACATGGCTGCCTCTGTCTGGCCCGTCAGACGTGTCTGGAACTGACCGGGCATTGGGCCTCGTCTTTCCACGCCACATACCCGCACCGACAAGGACTCAGGATGGCTTTTGTCTCTACGGGGCTGCCCGACTGCAGAGTAAATATTCAGTGGAAGATGCTAACATAATTAGTAAGGCGCATCATGAGGACGCAAAGGGCATCTCCGGTGCCCTGGCTCTTATGGTGCCCTGACTCTCACGACGAGAACTCGCCGTAGGAAATACACACCCGGAAACCTAACCCACGCGGCTTGTTTTTGCGGTGGTTGTGCTGCGGCATGATCAAAACGGGTCTAATTTGGGCATCGACAATCGGCAAATGCTATACTGAATCGTCGCCGATGTCGAAAGAGTGCCCTTCTTGACATGACGACAGTCGATGCCACCACCACCAGATCCATGACACCACACCACCATCCTCGCATATCCATGTCGACCTAGCGTACCGGCGCGTGCAATGGCGTGCTGTCGATTGACGTGTTGGCAGGGCTCTTAACAGATGAAGTTCGTGCGGCCAACGGTCGACAAACAGTCGTTTGGTGGGGATAGTAAACGTGTTTGTGTCGCCGTTTTTCGACATCAAACGGAGTTTAACCACGCCCCGATATACCACGCAAACATTTGTTTCACTTAGTGCGTTGCTATCGCCGTACGAAACGAGCGACAAGCTCCATTTATCAAAAAGTGAGCCGTGTTCTAGCCACCGCACCGTACGGAACGCAGCTCCGCTACTTGTTGGGGGGGGGGGGGGGAGGGGCTTCCGCCAATCACATTTTAAAGAAAGCATTCTCAATCATAACATTTTCGATAACTCTTGCTTCCTCCTCCTGACTCAGGTGAGCTTAAACACGTCTAGCTAAATGACACGAAGGCAGTACCACTGCCAGATTGGGATGGATTGTTGGCTGTCTCGTGAGCTCATGCCGTCGCGGGTGTCGCCGCCAGCCTGCCTCCGGGCAGACCGGGCTGCGGTGACCGACTACACGTCGCTGCCGTATGGCGCGAGACAGAGGCACGCCCGGCTCCCTCGCTTGTTTTTCTCGGTCAGTTTCACGCTCTGGCTTGTGGGTGTGCTACCTTCACGAAAACATAACGTAATGCAGGCTCTGGGGATACATCTTGTGGCCACCACGTCGGCAAGCTATGATATAGCCACAGAAATACCCACGAAGCAAGAGCAAAATTGCCTCAAGACCAAACATATCCTCCGTTCACCACTGAAGTTTGGAACTGACTTGGAGACTTCACACGGGGTAAGCATGTTTGTGCTGCACTACAAACTCCACAAACAGCGAACAGGCCACTAACATGATAGATATGCTAGCAAATCATCTCCACTTGAAACTTGCTTTGCACAAAAGATGACGGGTTTCCGATACCGCAATACGCATTGCTTCCGCCCCCTCGCCACACAAATGCAAACAAGTTCGCAAGGTTGTCGCGGAGGTCAGCCATGCAAAGCTTAAGAAGATAGTTCCTTAAATGTTCTGCCCTGTTGTAACCGTGTTGTCACGGCCCTACTGACCTCCTCGGTCCCTACGCCCAGTTATAAAGGGTACTATGCCCAAGGTTTAGGGAAGTCTGCTGAGTGAGTCGGGATCAGGCAAGTACAACAGAACTGTCTTCACTATCGAGTCGCAGAATGGTTGGTACGTCTGCTTCCAGAGAGAAAAACAACGCCCCTTCGGTGGAAATCTCGCATAAAAACCACTACGGTATAATGCATGAAAGGTGTCCTACGCCAAAGCAAAATCCTGCCGGTGACTTCTAATCAGAAAACCTGTGCACAGTACCAAATAGTGTTGCCCTGTTGTCTATCCGGTATACATCTTGAAGCGAGTTACTCTGTGCTCACCAAATGCCTCGACCCAGCATGAACAGGCCTGAGATCCCCATCTAAGTCGGACAAGGCGGCTGGCGGCGAATTGCGACCCGTGTTGACTGACTCCAACTGCAAATACGGCCGTCTGATGGAGCCGGATGTGGCACAAGGACCTCGCAGCCGAAGTGGGACGAAGAGGGCTTCCCAGCCGGAGCCGGCGAGCTGATGGTCCGCGCGAGCCGCGAGTGGGGCGACGATGGCGAGCGAGACGTTCCTCAAGCCCATCCGAATCGTCTGACGGGCGCCTGACACGATCGCCGAGATTGATTTGACTTGTGCTTTTGGCAGGAGCTGCTGTCCGTCGGAAGGCTGCATTAATTTCGACTGAAAGCTTATGCAAAACCAATGAAACTCCATCTACTAATAGGTTAGAAGGAACACGTAACGCATAAGTCCGCCAGGATGGGCACTTTGGCGCTCAAACGCACGATCTTAAAAGATTGCCCTTGGTTGCGCCAATCTAGTCTGGTTCACAACTGGGACCTTCGTTTTCCTACGACATATTTCCATTGCAGTGGCTAGAGCACGGACGCTATCACGAGCATTGAAGATAATTGCTGACTTCTGCGCATCAGCGACCACTCACAGACTAATGTGCAACATGTGCCATCAGGGGCCATTAGGTGCCACCAGGTGCCATCAGGAGCCATCAGATGCCACCAGGTGCCATCAGGGGCCATCAGGTGCTTCAGAACGACGTTCGCCTCGAACTTGTCGATGACAACTTTTTTGCGATACAGAATTCGCACAGGAAAAAAAATTAGCCCACAGTAAACCGGTCATTAGATCATTAGACGCCACGCGGCGTGTCACGTGACAGGAGACGCCACCCGGGAGCGCAATCCAGCGCGCCTTGTTACCTTGACGTAGGAGACCTGCGGCACCTCGGCCTGGATGCCGGACGACTTGGTGGTCATGGTGAGCAGGGTGGTGATGCCGAGGGTGACGCGGCCCGGCACCGAGTCCACGTCCATCCAGAAGCTGACCCAGGAGATCATCACGATCAGGATGGTGGGCAGGTAAGACTGCACTAGGTGGAACCCCAGCGACCGGCGCAGTGTAAACGCCGCTTGTAGACAGCTGTAGTCGCCTGGGAACATGGAGGCGGTTACAGCTGCTTGGGAATACAGAGGGATGCCGTGGCTCTCCCGCCGGGGGAACTATGCAGATGGGGTAAAGCAAGGAATGAAGTTCTCAACGAAATCATCGGTGCTTAGAGTCGCGACACAGATGGACACACTGTCTGCATATGTATCGTAAACATGTGTTCTATTATACGTAGAGCGAGCATTATAGAACACGAATAGCGGTGCATGGCTGTAAAGGTCAGAAAACATTTATCTTCAGGTTGAAATAAACATGTATGACGTGATGGATATTAAATACGAAGTCCTCATACATAAGCACAGGGACAAAAGCTCCGCACATGTCATGGCTCATCACGGAATTTCATTCTAGAGGGGAACTGCGCGGGGGGGAACTGTCCCTTGGTCCTCAAAAACGTTAAGTATGGCCTGAGCTGGGTAGAGCAGGGCGGTAGAAATCCGAAGGTAACAGCCATATTGCTGAAAACAGCTTCAAGAGGCTCTGAGTTCACAGGACGTCTGTGCTCCAAAACCACTGGCAATAAGTACCGTCTGCTGAATCGCATGCTCTTTCTATTTGACTTTGGTTCACCGCTCCAAGAAATCCCGTCGTTTGGTTTGAAATAAAATCAGGCCAAGCGCAGTCAGTACCGCTGAAGAACGGCGCAACCACAGAAACTGAAAGTCATAAGTAGCCCCAGGTTTTTTTTCTGAATTGTGTAGTACTTGGTCCAAATAACTTGATCGTGGGGGACTCTGGGATTAGCCCTACGCTATGCATTGGTTGTTCCGTGAGTCCTGTCACTACCATCAACTGCGAAATTTCGTGCCAGTGACATGGTTTTCCTGACAAAGCTTAACGTGTCGCAATGCTCAGCACGGTCCATCTCGCCCTCTGACGTCACCTGACCTTAAACACTGCCATTACCGCCCGCGGGCCATTCAAGTCAGAGGTAAATAACGAGTGTCTGAGGCGACTTGAACTCACACCGACACGGGTGGGTGGATCGGAAGACAGGCGCTCTAACCAACTGAATTATCGGTGCGGATGGACAAAATGCACTGCCCATTTTAGGTACCTAGCCGTCAACTTCCATGCAAGGCTTTCGCCTAAACCTGCAACTTAACAGATCAGTTCATTTGTGCATTGACACTCGTATTCATTGGAAGATACACAAACGATCGCACGCACCCATTGCCTTGTTTTTGATATCCTTACCAAGCAAGGACCGATGTTTGGGAAGGAACATTCCTATCCTGGCGTCAGGCCAAGCGTCACATCTGCCACTGACCCGAAATCAGGTTCCCCCCCCCCCCCCCCCCCCCGGCCGCACAGGGCGTCCGCTGGAGCACAAGACTGCTCCGCAGTGTTTCGGTGTATGGCGGTACAGCATCCGCCGCCGTCTGCCCCGGGGTGGCAGTCGGTGAGAGGCGACACGTGATCGCCTCTGCCTTTTTGGCTGCGATAGACCCAGGCAGGTATGCGAGAGTTCCCGAAGTGTGCCAAATTACGGTTGAACTCCTCATGACGGGCGGTTATTGAAAACACCGGCCTAAGCCTTGGTGACGTCATGTAGGGATCGCGCCATCTGTCGTCTACGCCGTTCGGCCTGCTGGCGTCTGTTCGTGCCGAGAGTTGGCGGCGGTTTCCATCACCACCGCACCAGGCGACTATCCGCTCCCAGCTGTATGTGTCTGTGTGTCATTGGGTCTTTACGACGCACTCAGCTGCTGAGGCTATATGGCGTCGCCTGCTTCTTCTCACCCTGGCAGGAAGGGCGGGCACCGCGGGCAATCGAACCCCGTCCCTCTGGTTTCCCAGACGCGCGGTGGTTAGCGCAGGCTCGTTAACCACTACACTACCGGTACCCCACCTCCCAGCTGTAGCTGAGCTTGGGGCTCACGGTTAGGGCCCGGCACGACCGGTCGGTTTCGTATCGTTCTGGTAAGGAAAGTGCATTCGTTGTCTACGGCTCATTGGCAATTATCCGAACGTTCGGAGAGAGAGTGTGAATAAAGCGGATCAATCGAAAATCATAAGTATTCATTTCATTTGAAATTCTTGCAATGTTTTTCTATTTCATATATGCTGATCTGAAACGTGCGCCATTTGGCAGCCTGTTGCACTGGCGTTGCACTAGTCATTGTCATGCTCCATATCCTTGAGCACCAAATCTTAGGCCACATGACCTGCGGCTCCAATTAAACGGATGCCACCAATGCATTTGCTCAACGTCCAGTGAGAATAAAAATAAGTGTCGTTCCCCAGGTTTCAAGAGCAACATATTTCTTCAAATCGTCCGTCCCAAGAGCTTAGCTCGTTGGAGCGTCTGCCTTCCGACCCACTCAGGTGTGGCGGGATGGCTTCAAGTCGCTTTAGGCGCTTACTATTCGCCCGTGGCTGGTATGACCTGAGGCCGGTGGCAGCGGCCACGCTAAAGGTCACGTGGTGTCATAGAACACGACAGATTGTGCCGAGCATTGCAACGCGTCGAACCTTCGCCACAAAATTCTGTTATTGTCCTGGAATTTCAGGATTTAATGGTATGGGTCACAGGTCACGCAACAAAAACTGCTTCGCGTGAGCTGTGATACCAGAAATCCATCCATTCAAAACGCTCAGACTTTAACCTCACACCTGTTTTGCTGACAAGATGTGGTAATTGTCTTATTGCTCGGAGAACAACCAGGAGAATGGAGGTATAGTTGGGTTGATATTTCGGCAACATGCCTTTATCTACACGATAGCAGAAGGAAATAATGATATGAATGAATCAGAATAGCAGAAGTGAATCAAGCAAATACTTACTTCTGCCATTGCTTCGATGAAGGCATGCTGCCGAAATATCAACCCAACTATCTCGTCCAATCTCGTGATTCTTCTCCGAGGAGTAAGGCTAATACTACTGTCATCTCTATGTGAATAATGCTCCTCGCTAATGCACTGAACAACCGTTTTGTTGAGGGTAAAGGCCCAAATATCAGCAATGCCATGACTAGCCGTTAATCATGGTGTTGCTGATACGATGAGGCTTCAGAGACCGTAATTATCTTTGATCTCTCAAAATGTGAACTCTGCACCTGACCACGTGCCTTAGCTGCACGTGTCTGTTCCCCGCGGAAATAGCCACTTAGCGCGTCTAGTGAAGGGTCGCAGCGCCTCTGGCGGTGTAAAAGGTAAATTGCTTTCCAGTTACAGGCTAAATTTAGCAAGCTATGCGAAAAAATGTGAAAAGGTGTACACTCCAGCATGGTACATTACTTGCATCAATCGTGGTGTGCAGCTCAAAGCCAGCTAAGATTTCAGGCGGCTTGTTTGTCTGTTCAAAACTTGTCTTAGGGCAACTGCTACAGCCAACGTGTCTCTCTCGGAATTATGAGACCACCATGAATATTACACTCATGGGTCGGAATTGAATGCATTGGCGTCAATAATTGCATCTGAGCCTTACGGAGGGATATCTGGGCGAGCATGGTAAGTAATTGCTTTCCTGGTGACAGAACCGCGCCATTAAGAATACTACATGACGTCAATTAGGACCTCAGATATTAAATGACGTGCAGCATACGATGAAATTACCAACTACAACGCAGCAATCAATAACAAATTGAACACGCTATTAACAGTGACGAAAACACGATTTAGGCTACACAGACACGAGATACAATGCATATTTGAGAACACCAAAGAACATCTTTTTTCGGGTACCGTGCTTCATTCTTATACATACACTATATCATTTAAAATAAATTCAGACCGCATCCAACGACCCGTGCGCTCGGAAACACGGGTACTGTGGCTGTATTGTATGAACGGGCCCAGGGAAGACGGTCGGCATGCAGCGTGGTGTACTATGGCTGTACTGATTGAACGGGCCCAGGGAAGACGGTCGGCATGCAGCGTGGTGTACTATGGCTGTATTGTTTGTACAGGTCCAGGGATAACGGTCGGCACGCAGCATGGGGCCGTGGAGCTGCAGAGACAGGACGGGAGTGAAAGGCGAGGGCCAGGCAGCCGGCCCAGCCGTACGCGCCGCCTCCCACTGTCCCCATCATCTCGCTGAAAGTTGTAACAGTCTTCTGTTTGGTCCCGCTTCTTGAACTGTAGCCTTCCGCTGCGTTGTGTGTCCTTTAAGTAAATCGTGAGTCATATCTGCATCTAATTTAAATGCTTTGTATGTAAAGCTACAGAAAACAAAATTTGCTAGCAGCGTGATTATGAAATTATGGAAGCTGTAAAAGATTCAAGTGCAGAGCTTGACAAGAAATTTAATTGGTACCAAGTCACACCAACTGCCATAGTTGGAAGCGTAAAGCCGGCCGAAGCTTCGTGAAAACTAAATAAGCGCATAAGGTACCATCAAACGGGAAAAGTTTTGACCTAAGATTCTGCAAACATGAAGTTGACGAAATTGCCTACCCGAGACCATCAAAGCGAACCAAAGCTCAGCTTGCATTTATGGATTTCGTTGCATTTCTGAATGACCTTAGAGCTAGGGGAGGCTCTCAGAAAAAAATAGCATGCAGATCTTCGATGGCATGTGCGATGAAAACGAACACAAGATTGTGAAGGGCATCTACAGAGCAGTGTGGAAAGAGCATTACAGCAAGCCGCCAGCTTCCACAGCCAAATCATGCATAACTTCCAAAGGATGTGATTTTCACCTTAACTATTTTCTCATCAGTGATGTTCAAACCAGAATGACTCTCGTTAGCACTGCGATCATATTCGGAACACAAATCGCAAAATCGTTGGTTCGAGCTGAAAACATCAGAAAATTCAGATTGAGATACGTAGATCTACAAGCGAACATCACACAGCCTCTCAGAACGGGTCTTTGCCTTTTCCGAACCAGGATAAGAGAGAGAGAGAGAGAGAGAGAGAGAGAGAGAGAGAGAGAGAGAGAGAGAGAGAGAGAGAGAGAGAGAGAGAGAGAGAGAGAGAGAGAGAGAGAGAGAGAGAGAGAGAGAGAGAGAGAGAGAGAGAGAGAGAGAGAGAGAGAGAGAGAGAGAGAGAGAGAGAGAGAGAGAGAGAGAGAGGGAGAGAGAGAGGCGGATCCCACAATACAGGAACTCATTACAAATATTTACTGAACATCACACCGTAGGTGTCTGCCTCCCGCATCACACGTCAGTTTTTTCCTCAGAACTGTTTGCTATTTTAGCAACGCTTCAGTACGTTACTTGCCGCCCTGAAAGGGATGCAGTCATTTTGACCGACTCACTTAGTGCACTTTTATCATTAGACCCGACGGCGATGTGGCGTGACCACTCATTTCTGACGCGCTCAATTCGGAGGAACTGGAATGTCTGGGCAACACTTCTTGCCGTATCACATTTATGTGGATTCCCAATCACATAGGGATAATGGGAAATGAGAAAACAGACACTGCAGCGAAAGCTGCGGCGTATGACAGAAAATAAATGTCAATTTATGTACCCGCTCGAGATCTCAAGTCGGTCATTTCCAGATATGTCCGCAATACGTGGCAGAACAAGTTCGACCAACATCGTCACGGTTTCAGGGAAATCAAGTCCCAACTGGGTGATTGGGAATCTTCCCATCGCCGAAGCCACTTCCAGGAAGTCGCCCTTTGTAGGCTTCGATTGGGTCATACATATGCAACACACTCGTTTTACTTGACGCGTAAGAATGTGCCACGGTGTGACATATGCGGGGACCGGTTGTCGGTAGAACATGTTATCGTCTCATCCCGGCACCTTGAGACGGAAAGGCGACAATTTTTTCCTCCAGCAGCCGTTCATCGGTTACTCGGTCGAGACCCATGTAGTGAACTTGGATACATACTCGCATTTTTAGCATGCGTTGACTTTGACATCATTTTCGCTCACCACTCAGTGTAAGTGTACCGGTGATATTGTCTGTTATTAGTTGACAATACACTTATGGCGTCGTCTCAGAGGTAGATAACCGTCATTGAGTGGGCGCAAAATGGCCCGATGCCCGTAAGCAACTTGTAACGCGGCTTGTCACCGTGAATTAGAACCACAGGAAAATAATTGCGCGACGTGATAAATATTTATAACCTCATCTTTCCAACGCCTCTGCCCTGAATTCCAGCCAATCAACCGATACATGTTTCTGGCCTCCTGTTTTGAAAGCATTTGCCCTGAATTCTAGCCAATTATCTGATAAATATTTTCAACCTCATGTTTTCAGTGTCCTTGCCCCGAACGCTAGTGAGTTAACAGTCACTTTGAGTCCTCCTCACTGTTGGCCGTGTCATTACCCCCGAGGGCCTAGTAGGTCTAAACAATCACTGACTGGAAATGCTGTGGCTCGGCGGCCCGGTACGGTTAGGGACGGCTTGGACGAGCTGTAAGTACCTTTGTCAGTGCCGTCAGTCGTACCGCTAGCCTGTTCCAGTACCAACAGCGCAACCACTTCAATGTCGTTCTCAGAAATTTTAGTCTTTGAGGCCTTGCGATATTTTGAAAATTCAGCAGCTCCTTTTTAGCTTAACTAAGAAGGTTAAATTTAAAAAATGCAACACGAATCGGGACAATACGAACTAAAAGCATACTGACAGTCCGTGCACATAACACCACTACACCAACATCTCTTACAGAGTAGAAAACGAACAATGACACTGCCAAGAGCGTGGGTTAATATGCGAAAGTTATTAATCACGCCCGAGCGCAAAACACTACTGGTCTTGCTGTTTGGGCGTTTTATGATTGGGGTTACATCTCAAAGGTGCATATACTGCCCACAAATCCGCACATGAGCTCAATACTGTCTTCCCAACAGTGGTACCAGTAATCGATCGAGAGGCGGCCACTGTCGCTTTTTGTAACCGATCTGGTGACCGGTCACATCCTAGCGTCCAAACCGAGCAGTTGGGCCAGGAAGCATACACAGGTGTGTGGCCCAGATCATTGTGACCATTCCAAGCCCCCACAACTGAGTATTTCCCCAATAATTTGCTCACAGACATCGAAAACGAGGACCATTTCAAGTTTCCCTATTCCGTGCCGGTCTCACCGCGTGCGATAACGTAAGCATCACTCCCCTTTCCCCGCTAAATCATGACAGACTGAGATTGCAATGCTTTAAAAATGGTTGCTGGCTTGGGTTCCCAAAGGTAACTGGCTCAATTCGCTTAGGCTGTGGCTCCATATGTATGATTGTAGCTGTCACATTTATTACAATCTCGCTTTCCCGATGACGCAAATGTCACTTCACCGATTATTTTTGAATAATGCACAAATGACTGCATTGAAAAGAACCAGACACTACGTGGAATCGATATCCATTGTGGTAACGGAACTTACAGTGTCATTTCCATTTGTCATTTTCCAATGCAGCGAACAGCACCGGAATACTTTCATGTCGCGTAGTAATGGTGACATTTACGAAATGATGGCCGTGCTTGGTGCCATTAGGTATCATCACTTCATTAAGCACCACACACAAAAGCGTAATGACCATCATATGGCATGAACAACGCTATTAGCGTTGTTCCTGGCGAAGTGTGGGAAAACACCCTGGGCACACTCGGATACTTGGTTGCGTACTTAGCTACTTCCGCTTCTCTCCTCCTCTTCAATCTACTCTTTAGTCTCCTCCATTCAATTTACAGATAATGGTTATACTCCAGCAGGCTAGAATCTGTTGAGCATTTGAAAATATTAATTATGTTGAAAGTTCACGGTGCCATTTTTTCTGTCGGTGCAGCGAGCATTAACCGCACCGAGCGTCTGGGGCGTGCAGAGGTCCTTTGCCGATGCTGGAGGACTGTTCCTGTTCACACATCGACGTCTGGGGCGTGCAGAGGTCCTTTGCCGATGCTGGAGGACTGTTCCTGTTGTTCACACATCGACGTCTGGGGCGTGCAGAAGCCGCTCACCGATGCTGGAGGACTGCTTCTGTTCACACATCGACGTCTAGAGCGTGCAGAAGTCACTCACCGATGCTGGAGGACTGCTCCTGCTCACACATCGACGTCTGCACGCCGCCGAACTCAAACTGCGGCATCTTGAGACTCTCGTACAGCACCACAGGCTTCTCGGCCTTCCAGCGAAGCTCCAGTTCCGACAGCGTCTTGGAAACTGAAGCAGAGGTCCTCGGGTCGTTAGTGGAACAGGGACAGGTCATGTCGGTAAAGGAGGTGTCAAAGGTGACTGAGAGACACGGATCAAGGCGGCAGACTGGTCACAAAAGGACGTCCAGGATGATCAGCAGTGATAGGCTATACGTCCCGGCACCCGGCTTAGCTCAAGACTAGACGTGGCAGCGAATATTTAGTTCCGCTTCACTTAGTTTGCAAAAAAACGTTTGAAACATAATAGAGACCAACGTCAAATTTGCGGAAAATGTGCGCAGGGGATTACGGTTTATTACTTGTTTAAAAATGTATTCGGTCACCCACTATTGACGAAAACGGTGTCACGAAAAAAGATCGAGTTCCACATTAATGTTGCATACGGCGACTTAACTCAATAAGCACGGCTTCCATGTGGACAGACAAGGCAGCCGAGTGCATTTCAGAAGATACTGAAAACCCTTTTGAAGTACGTGTTTGTGATTCACCTAGGGGACTGAGTTAAAATCTGAAAAAGGATCAACATAACGTTGGATGTCCTGGAACCCCAACGACGAACCCCCTGGACCCCCCTGGAACCCCTGGAGCTCCTGAGGACGATTTGTGTACCCGCAAAAACGCATTTAAGTTGGCATCATGGCAACAAACACAGCGCCTCGAATCATCCATGCTATCAATTCATTTTATTCTTCGAACGTGGAACGGACTTATAACGTGAGATGAAGATCTGTGATGACGACGTACCTGACGGAGCACTTCTATTATAAAGTTACTGGAAACCGACGAACTCCCCGTGTAGAAAATTTGAAAATATTTACAACCTGTACCATAGCAAAAAAAAACTGCATTTCCTGGCTGATGTGCACTTCCTCACATTGATTTGGCTGGCTTGGCACCACGCCATTTTGGTGCTGTCGCACGACCCCCCCCCCCCCCCCCCACAGCCGTGACTGGAAACCAGAAGTCCTCCAAGTTGCACAACAACTTACAGCTGCCAATTTCCATGGTGCAAACTTGAAAGTCGAGTGGGAACTTGGACACCTCCATCATGCACGCGAATATCAGCTTCAACCTGTCGAGCAAAGGACCATTGCTGTTGAAGCGCAACAAAGTCGTTCGATCTTGCAGAACACAGTAGGTCGTTGACGAGGCAACAGCATTCACGCTGCGTAAATGATAATCTTCTTACTGTCATACTGGCAAGTTCGTCCTATCCGTACATTTACTTTCAGAAGGTCATCTTCTCGAGACGGTAGATGGCGTGCGGGTGCCTTCACGATTATCGAAAAAGGTAGCGTTCGCAGTCAGAAAGCAAAGCGTGATGTTGGATCTCACGCTTCTGCGAGCAGGCACGGATTGAAAGCTACAAAAGGCATTTCTTTTTTATCTTTCCAATCTACGCCAGGAAATGACTTTATACAGCTGATTTGGCACAACTTTGCGCACGCCTAGCACCATCGCACCGAAAAGAGGAAAATTTTACGATGGACGTAAAGGAAGACGCCAGTCCCCGGACTACCTAATATCGTTTGAAGCACGTCCCTTTTGGCAGTAAATATACCTTAGCCTATATTTCGCATTTTCTACGCCCAGCACATTCATGCCACTGTGAAGTGGCTTCATTAGGACAGGGTTAGGGGCTTGGGAACCAGGTGGGTATGGGGAGTCCCAACCTTCTTAAAATTCTACATTTGCATCAATGGGAGTTGACGGGAAAGGAAAAATGTAAATGGTTATGTCCACCTCCTCTCCCTAATTTCCAATCAGGATAGCCGGATAGCTGTCTAACTTCACAGAATAACAATGCCTGATGTTACAATAGTGACAATCGACTGACGCCAACTGGGCGGTATTTTATTTTGGCGCAGCTCGGACATAACACAGCATCTCTACTTGCGTGCAATTTTATTTTCCGACCGTAGCGATTTGCTGAGTTTGGCCTCAGAACTGGGTCTATAATAAGTGGGCATAGAGTAGTGCTGCTTTCATTATGACAGCATGTTTTTGCATAGGGTTACGACCGAGGACAACGCAGAAATGTACCGACCGGTATTGCCGCTCTGCGGCACTCACTGAAACTGGAAAAAACTGCACGTTAAATCGGAATATCCTACTCGTTGTGGGAAGCTAAAAGCTCTCGCCCCTCCGATAGATATATCTCCTTTAAGTTGCAATGCCCCATGGCACAACTGTAGTTGGAAAGCGCATTTCTTCTCAATCCGCCCCACTATGCTTAAAGCAAAACTAAACGTGCACGCCTGTTTATCGCCTGCACTTTTGACATCACGCATGAGCCATCACACTTCCTTACATAACGTCAACTAATGACGCTCCTAATGACGGGCTTTAAGTGCCATCATCACCAGAATGTAGGCTGTGCGAGTCATAATGAATGTTCGTTTGAGTGGGCCTTACAGCTGCGGGGGATATTTTAAAATTTATAAGTGTACGCATCTTCATTTAACGCTGTTTCAGTCCGGGTAAAAACCTGACTTCGGAAGGTTTACAAACGGCCACTGAAGGCATCTAAAATTTTGCCGTGCTTTTATGGTGCTGTAGCCACCCATACTTAACTCCGCCGAGTGTCAAAAGTCATACCAATGGTTTTTTACTTGCATTCTCACCGGTGCAAATCTTGGCTCTAGTAAGCGGAGTGCGAAAGATATAGCTTATGTTTCACTCGGTTAAATCTGTATCTGGCCAGAGAAGATCTAGATCTCATGTATATCTGTTAATTTACTCCACGGCTGATCTAACCAGAATCCAATTCGCCACCAGAATGTCAGACCTAGTGAGTCCAGGATGATGGTTTTTCGATGCTTAATGAAATGCTGGCTTGTGTGCAAAAACTGGCTCAAAGGCTGTTCCATCCGTACACCAGTGATCATCATGAAGAAATATATTATTTGGCACTTACTGTCGATTTGCTTGACGTTATACTCGAGCATTTATGAGCATTTCATTAAGACCAATAATCAATCAAATCCATACTTAGCCCAATCCTAACACATTGAACATATGTGTCAATATGATCCCCGTACGATCCGGTGGATTGCATCGGATTGCAAAATCCGCTGGGTCGATCCTGTCCGTTCCGCTCTCTGCAAATGCCTGGACAGGCCGCAATGCATTCGTAGTCGGGGCACGGGAAGAATTGCAAAGTTTTGGGGGAGAGGCACACGAAAAATGACCCCTCCCCTTTTCATGACTGCAGTGTACCGTGCAGTGTATTCTTACGATGCTAGATGCACCGATGCCGATGCCACGGGGCTGGCATCGGCGCGGTCAAGCATCGGGTAGGCCGGCTCCAGTGAGGCAAGCTCTGTTGGCACTGCTGGAACTGGACTCCGTGCTGGCTTCGTTGGAATGGGTTGCGGCACCGTCTCTGGTTGGACCGGCTACTGCACCGGCTCCAACAGTTTAAACCACTACGGAGGTTCAGTTCGGACCGACCACTGCGCCGGTTTGGGCGAGGCTGGAGGCAGCCCTGGCTATGACCGGACCGGCTGCTGCGGCAGCTCTGTTGTACCGGCTTCTGCGCTACGTTCAACGGAACCCGCCGCTCCGCCGTTTCCGGTAATATTGCCTGCCGCGATGGCTCCTAAGCACAGCTTGCGCGGCTAGCGTCCCGGCTCTGGCGACGTGCGACGCGGCGCTGACTCTGGTGGTGCCAGCACTGTTGCACTGGCTCTGGTGATTCCGATCATCTGATACCGACCGTTGAGGAGCCGTTGATCAGGCCTGGTCGGGGATTTACCCGCAACTGGTCGGGGATTTGCCTGCGACTGGTCGGGTATTTACCTGCGGCTGGTCGGGTATTTACCTGCGGCTGGTCGTGCTCAGGTGATGCCAAAAGATGTGCCAACATTATCAGGATGCACATCATATTCCGCCGCATTACTACCACGAAAACATAGTAAATGAATCTCATCGCATCAGTGCTCGGAAAGCTATGCAGCGCTAGCAATTAATTTCTGCATCATCACTAACAGGTCGATGGAGACAACAGCAGGTGTTAGCTTCTTGGTGGGGAACATAAATCACATAGGATGATATGCTGACCGTTCGATCCGTAACCGGAGCGTTGCATCGGAGCCTCCGAGCGCGCGGTGATCTAACTGCCCCTGTACTCATGCAACACGCCGTGTTACACGGGCTCTCGAGGGCCCGTTTACGGGCGCCTCGGGGGCGCGGCTCCGGCGCTGACCGGCTGGAGCTGGGTGACGTCACAGCGCCTGTGCGCTAAGGCACTGCATTCCTTCCCCGCATAAAGCAGAGGGCTGGAGGTTGGGTCCACGGACGGCTGCCTCATCTCGACGCCTCTGCCGGGGCCGCAACCAATGGGACGAGCTCTGCCGGAGCTGCATCCTCTGCCGGAGCTGTCATCCAACGGGACGAGTTCTGCCGGAGCTGCCATCCAACGGACGACCTCTGCCGGAGCTATCATCCAACGGGACGAGCTCTGCCAGAGCTGTCATCCGACGAGACGAGCTCTGCCGGAGCTGTCATCCAACGGGACGAGTTCCACCTGAGCTGTCATCCGACGGTACGAGCTCTGCCGGAGCTGTCATCCAGCGGGACGAGTTCTGCCGGAGCTGTCATCCAACGGGACGAGCTCTGCCGGAGCTGTCAGGTCCTGGTTCCCTGGCAGGTCATCTGCTGGAGGCTTCTAGTTTGTTGGCAGCTCCTCAGCGGTTGGCACTCTTGTCCAGCGAGCTGTGTTCTGAGCTTTGCCGTCGGACGTCCGGAATGCGGCGGTTCCGACGCTCTTGTCGACGCGAAGAGGCTGTAGGAAGCCTTGGGCACCTTTTGGTAGATGTTTTGGGGTCTAAACGCGAGCGTAGTCATCCACGCGGATGTCTGGATCGACTTTTGCTATCCGCCGGTCGTAGGCCGCCTTGTCAGCCGCCTGCCACTACTCCAGTCATGCCATCAGGTCGTTTTCGACTGGGGCGGCAGCTGTGGTGGAAAATGGTACGGCAAGTCGCATTCGGCGTCCGAAGACCTGCTTGGAAGGCGAATTGCCTCTTCTGGAGTGCGAACTGACCCGATGCTAAGTCAGACACGTTCGCACGCTGCTCTCGAAGTTTATTGCAGTCCATCTCGTCCGACGCACAGCGCATTTCGCCATCCGGTGGCGGATGAGCTTTTCCGTAAGGTCACCGCTGTTGCGCGGGACGCCCAAGCCGCGCAGCGCTGCGACGTCATCCGCCTCCGCTGGGCTAGTCCCGGTGTTTGCTGAACTAGACAGCTTTCTGCGAGAAAGCGTCATCGAGCCCGTAAACGTCAGTGAACGAAGCAACCCACTGGCCGTCTCTCATAAGAACGCTGGGTGGACATCTATGTCTGTGCGTGGACCTACGTGGATCTACGTACTGCCAAATCCATTCGTTGCCAACTACTTTTGACCACTGCTTCGCAGTCGCCGGTCAACCTTTTCGAGCTTGGTCCCGTAGCAGCCGGAGTTCCAAACGACGAGTTGGCGCGAATTGACATTCCCACAGATACATCTTTTCGCGTTGCACTGTGTTAACGGCACTCAGAGCCTTTGTCTCTGATCGGAGTACCTTTTCTCTGCGCTAGTGAGGGCATGTGACCAGAAGGCGGCTGCTGGCTCAGTGCCGTCCCGCTGCAGCTGAGACAGCACAGCTTCGGCTCTATCGTCACTGGCGTCAGAAGTGACGGACGTCTGAAGACGTGGGTTACACGGGTGGGTTATACGGAACGCTCGCTCTGACGCTCTGGATCCCTTCTGATCTGAACTCCCTTTTGACGCTTTGGAAGGCTTGGTCGACTTCTCGAGTCCACTCGAACTTCACGCCTATCTTCAGCAGATTGTGACAGAACGGACTTTGTCGGAGTACGCTGGAACGAACCGGACAACCAGCCGTACAGACCCCGGAGTGGTCCCAGCGCGTGGACGTTGTCTGGCGGCAGGCATCTTGCACGGCGCCTGTCATAGGAGAGGCGGGACGCTCTCCGCGGCGTTGCTTCGACGCCAGTATTAGGCCAACGCCAGGATAAGGCCAGCTTTGTGAGGTGGATGCCGTGGTGCTGGAGATGGGTTTCGAG